GCTACGATAACAAACCGGAATTTTCACAGTTGCACTTAAAACAATGAACCAGTACCTGAGCACGATGAATCATCTTCGGAAGACAATGAGTGTTGGCCTGTTTTGTAAACAATTCTTTGTATGGGACCATGCAGGGCGCACAGGAAATATAACAGGGCGCTGACAATTTAAACAGGGCGCCAATTTCAGATAACAGGGCGCGGCGCCCTGTAAAAACCCCTCGTGGAGAACCCTGCTTTTAGATATTTAGCTGTTTTGAAAGGCAAGCTAAACTAAATTTGAACCAGCTAAAAGCTAGCTGAACGTGCCCAGACTGCACTGTATGAATTCAAACTCAAAGCGGGTCAAATTATGTTTTCATTTATTTAAGAGGGGGTGGGTCTGTAGAATAATGCTATGTTTTGCTATTGGATTTTTTGTTTGAAACTTCATCTGATAATCATATGGCTGAAAGAATATTGTACAAGCTGTCTTTAACGCTATCACCCGGTATTAAATCAATTTGATGGTCGTTTGTAACCCAACTGTTCTAAAATAGAATACAGGCGTTCTAGAATTTTTGTAGTAACTTAAATCATGGTCACTTGATGTTTACGACACAAAAACATTTGTACTCATGGTTTATATGCCGTAGCATCACATGACCCTGATTTAACTAGTACTTTCCTACACATTGAATTCGTTCAGTGTTTTGCATAAATTAAACCTAGTTTGCTTAAGATATACTAACAATTGAATCTCGCAAACAAATTTACATGTGCTACCATCAAGATGCAACATATAGTGGTAAATATTCTAATGCACAGATTGTTGTTGTATGAATATTCTAAATCATTTAACTTTCGTTGTTAGGAATTTTCGCAATTTAATGATCATCATAATTGCGTACAATTAGATCTGGGCAAGCTATTGATAGGTTTGCTATGGTTTTTTATCAAATTACTATGAACATGGTTCATAAGAACATGATGAAAATGCCTATAATTAAAAAATTCATGCAGAGAAATGAAATCATTATGAAACCTGTTTGTTGCAGCTGGTCACATCCTAGTTTGTGTATCCAATGGTAGCTGTAGATGTCCAGTACAAGTCTATAAACTTACAGTAAAACTTAACAAAGGTAAGGCTTGTCTTGCTGGAGGTGATACCTGATAATTGCTGAGACAGGAAAGTAGGATGATATATATGAGGCCCAGTTGTTGGCTTGGAGTTACTTTATTTTGTAAATATCAGATTTTACCGCCTTGGTAAATGCAATGCGCACAATCTCTGTCCACCCTCAATTTAATATAGTTGAGATAAAAAATAATCATACCAATCTATTCTGTCATATAACAATCTGCGTTAATCACCTATGACAACTTATTAGGCCAGACTTTTTTTATTCCTTGTTTCTCGAGTTTTTATAAGGCAATTTTTTTGAGGAGGGTGGAAAAAAATAAAATTAATTCTTTTTTTCCATTAGATTTGTGTGATTCTCAAAGAATTGTAAGTGAGATCATTGCTCGGAGAGAAGAAATGAAATAAAATTTTATTCCATGTATTATAACCTTGTTTCTCATCTGCGCAAGACTTCGGTGCTTTGATCATGATATTCCCACGAAAATGCAACTTGGGTTTGTTATGCGACGGGCGGAAAAAATATGAAGATAAAAATAAGTTTTTTTTTAACAATTTTTTGCACTTACTTATTTTTATATCATTTTCGGCTCCTGTTCATTCGGCGGGTTTGCGAAACAAGGGATAATAAAAGTCTGGCCTTACTATTGTTTTCCTGTCTCTTCAAACGATAATATTGGAAAAAGATAGTAACTTTTTTATTTATTTGGTCTGACCTAGCTAGAACATGCTTAAAATTAACAGATATTATTGTATTTCAGATAAGTGTTCCATTGATTCCGAGGCACTGCCAAGTTTGTTCATGCAGTGTAGTACTGATCCAAACCAACTAGAAAAATGTAAGTTTGTCTTTGCCTTGTGTTGTAATATTGTAGAATACTTTATTATCGCTGAAAACACTTTTTAAGCGTTTTGTATAGGATTTATTTTCACTGATTTTTGACAAGTTGAATGTAAAACATAGGAAAAAATATATATTCGCTGGATTTTATTTTTACTGAATCAAATTCATTCTAAGCGAAAATAAAGTATCCCACAGTATGTAACGTGTGAACACATCAACCAACTTCCGTCATTGGCGATGCTATTTTTTGGTGCATATTTTATAATGTTTATGTAGCAAAAGCTGCTAAAAAGCATAGTATGCTGGTAAATACCAAAACTTGATAAACCCACACATTATACTTCATGCTTGTTCCTATTTCAAAGCTTGTAAAATACTAGTTACGACCATTAGCTGTGGTATCTTTTTTAATATGTTGAGTTTAAAATAAATATGGAGCTACATCAATCCCAATGTTAGACCCGTAGAATTCACAGATGTGGAAAATGAAAAAGGAAATTTAATTCAATATTGACACTTGGGGCACTGTTTAAATTATATTTTTTGTAACGTATTTTTTTCAATGAAAGAATCTCTATCGTTTATAATCATTCAAAGATCAAAATTTTATCAATCTGCATTTCAGATAATTATATCAGTCATATACAGTTCTTGAATAAGGAAGCTGGTGATCAGATCATAGCATGTGCAGGGAGGTAGGTAAATGGTGTTTGTATTCTGAGCTGAAGTGCAATGCTTTGCATGGTATCATGAGCTCATCATACATGGTTCCTCGCTGGAACAAATAAAAATGATTTCGTTCGCAGCATATTTCATTCATTATTTCATTTGTCCCTAGATGCCCACTAGATGCATACCTTTAAAAAGGAACTGTTAGCAACACCACGTACATGCATGCTTTCTGTTCAAGAAATACAGCATGGTAGATTGGAGAACCTAGCTATTTCATATGCTCAATTTAAAACTAGCATTGCAATTTTGTTGATCATGGCTGAAATCGTGGTGGTCAGAAGTTTATTAGCTCCGCTGTCAACTTTGTCGAGCAGAGCTTATCATACGAGTGATTATCCTCAGTCATCTTCCGCGTCAACTTTTTTACTTTTTTAACTTCTCCTTGAAAACTACAAGCCTGATTGTTTTGATACTTGGTATATATGTAACCTTGGGTAGACCTCGCTTAGATTTGTTCATTTCATGATGATATCTTCAATTCTCTTATTTTAAAGAATATTTTTGTCATTTTTGGTAAAAATGGATATTTTTGACTTGTTGTTAAAAACCGCAAGTCTGATTGCTTTGATATTGTACATATAGGTACTACAGGTGGATCTCTCTCAGATTTGTTTATTTCGTGATGACATATTCAATTCTCTTATTTTATTTCTGCTTGTTTCACACACAAATTATTCATTTCAGGGCCGCATGGTGCATGCATAGAAAGCTGGCATTTGAAACGAGAATCACTTAATGTACATAAAATATTTCAAGCTAGTTCACCACCACGAACAAGAGATCAGATGCCATCAATATTGGTAAGAGATACTTTGATATATCCTTATTTGTTAGTTATGATAATGGAATAAGTCATTTAAAGTGATGTTCCAATCAGCTTTAACCTTTTCACCACCAGACTTTCTCGCCCAATTTGTTTTGCACTTTTTTTCTGATATTCTTCAATATTTCTGGAAGTGAACTCTAATTTTGGAGCCAACAGGCAAAATTTGAGTCAATTTTCAGTTTTTACTCTGAAAATTTGGCTATTTTTGTCTCAATCTTCTGAAGGTAAGTGCAGACTATAAACAGGACTACTTTGTGATGAAAAGAAGGAACTAGTGATGAAAAGGTTAAACAGTTTCACAATGTGATAGTTTGATATTGTTCATGGTGAAGAAATTTCGTGATAATCGATGCGACTTGCACAAGTCTATTGTGCAGAATTTTCAGATTGTTCCAGATACAGCTATACCATATTTGCTCTATAAGTACCAGTAGCACATGTTCTTCTGCAAATTATGTCTAAATTGTTTCTATGGTCAACAAATACAACAAATGCTATTTTTTAATTATATACATTTCTATTTGAGATGCGCTTCTAGAAGAGTAAATACATAATATATTTGCTCTATTCACTAATGTAAATGATAGAGGTGTGTCTGTCATCAAAGTAAGAGGTATTTCAACATAAGCTTCTATTGGAGCTGTGCTTCAAATAAAGCAAATACAGTATGTTTAGAATACTTTATGTTTATTTTTCTATCATGGCATTTTTATTTGATTTGTATTGTATCTGTGTTGTTGCGAACAATCAAAGATGAGCAACTTCATACACGTTGATGTTGAGTGGAATTAACATTCAGATTGTCAATGGTCAGATAATAATGTGCCACACAGGTGGTTCCGCTGGTTGAAGCTCAAGTCTTTCGTTGTGTCACCCATCACCGAGTACATGTATTTATGCCTATTTGTAAGACAATAATTTCAAATAAATTAATATTTTTTCAAATTTTCTTCAGAAATGGAATTTCATGGCAAATTATGACTCTGATACCTGTAATGTGATGGCGCTGTCACTGCCAAAATTACCACTGAATCTGTCACACAAGTCCATATACAGTGGTCCAGGAATGGCATTCTCTGCGGCATTTCAAGATGGAACTATCAAACTTATTCACAGGTTGGTCTCTCTTGCCTTTTTCACAGTTTCCATGTTTGTCAAGGTTGATGCTCTGTGCATTATTGCATGATAATGCACAATATGCACAATGATGGATGAGTTGTAGTTAAATCTGTTATTTAAGTGAACATCTCTGTCTGATCCCTGTTATTTAAAGGCCCAGGTATACTATAAATACGCTCCTAAACAATAGGGATTATTTCTTTGCTTGTCATGCTGTAGTAAATAGCTCCAGCCAAGCTCCGGTAAAAACGTGTTTTCTCGAACTTACATGTCTATTATGTCGTGCCAAAGTGGATGCATGTGACTATGAATATCACAGCAGTGACTGTGTGTAGTATTTATGACAATAAATAGTGTACGAGCTGAGATTTTGGTGGTAAAAGTCAAAAACACGAACCGAGGGAAGGGACGCGCTACTAATCTTGAGTAATTAACTACTGCCAATCAAAGTCAAGTGATGTAGGACCGCTGAAACAGGGTGCGTCATAGGCTATGCAAGTGATTAACAACACTCATTAGCATAGCCTCACCTCCCATTCACACTTGCCCGGGGCAAGTGAATTGGGCCTTTAAACAATAATGAATGACAAGATACTGTGTGAGGTGAAGCTGAACAACCAGAATACTCAGCCAGAACATGGGCTTAATACCTTAGATTTGAACTTCAATTCAAAGCCAAGCGAGGCAGCCACTGTGCTAACGGTTAATCACATGTCATTCATGCATGTCATTTATGCAAGTCATTGATTTAATCATGACATACCACTTTTTCAGAGTCTCATTAAAGCCTTTTGCTGTATTTAAATATGAAGGTGTGAGGCCAGACACAGCTCCACAAGGTAATATCTAATTTTGTATCTTTATTTTGAAACATGGTGGTTTTTCTTCTTTAAAAGTAAATTTGTTTATGTCAAATTGTCACAGTATCCCTATATGTCCTGCAGGGGTTGAAGAATACGGTGGTCCGAAGTCCGGGACTCATAAATTACTTTGACGGACCTCCGGATTGAAAGCACTAATAGTCCGTCGGACCATTGATTTTATAGATAAAAAATAATAATAAACGTGTCTGCATATAACAATTTAATCTAAAAACAGTCCTGATATTCGTTGTCTCAAAACTGAGTTTATTACGTGGAACGTAGTGACATTCTCCGTTTTCTTACGCAGACTGTAATTGGTCAATAATATAGCGCGCGGAAACATCAATGATGTCGGTCTACTTTGTGCGTGACAGCAATACAATGAATCCTGCACGCGCAAACATTATTTGTGTACAGCAGCCATGAGTAACAGTTTGTTTGATTTTGGGTTTAGTCAAACTAAAAAATCTAAAGGGAGTGATGACCATGAAACAGAAGAAGTTCCGTCTAAAAAACAGAAGTACAATGTGACATCAAGTCATAGTGAACCAGAGAAACTCGCGAACTTGACGAAGGACAAGAAATATGATCGTGAGAAACGTGTTCGGACTTTCAAGTCACATTGGACAACTGAATTTCCTTGGGTACGCTACGATGAAGTTGCGAATACTATGTTCTGTGAATATTGCCGAAACTATCCGCTGTCATCTGATAAGTCAAGTGCCTTAGTGAAAGGAACGACTAATTTGAAACTCGATCTGCTACGATGTCACCAA